AATAGCATGCAGCACCAGGGATTCAAACCCAGGTCCTTGTGCTTGCCAGGCAGGTACATAAACTGCCAAGCTATTGCCCCAGCCTTCTTTGATTTTTTTTTACTTTGTTTTTATTTGCTTTCTGGAACTGCTTATCTTCCTGAAACTAAATCTGAGTACAGTAGCACAATCTGAACACTAGTTATTTCCTGATAGCCTTGCACTGGACAAAATTTCTCTTAAAAATAGAACTGGAAATTTTAAATCATGATCGTTTTTTGTTTTCCTAAATCTACCATAAATATCAAAAAAAGTTAAAATAATGTTTTTCCTTGAGTCATAAAGGACCAACACATAAAAGACAAGATAACTAATTGGGAAAAAATTCAGCATTCCAGCCCCACCACCCTTCGTCTTTTCTCTTGTGCAGTTTATGCTCAGCCCTTTGCAGCTTTTGCTTTCTCTGGGATGTCATTAAATGAGGGTCTTTCCTCTACCTTCAACTCTCATGCCCCTAGGCCTACAATGTCACCACAAGAAAGTAGGTGCACTCTATTCTGTCTTAGTTCTATCCCCTGGTAATGTGAGTGACAATAATAATCCCCATAGTAGATTGCTAGTTGGTGGTCAACTTGTTACACCCCGCTGAGCTGAGCTAGCATGGCGCTGGGTGTGGGAGGCCAACCTGAGGATTGTTGCTGGTAGCATAAGAGGCAGAGCTGGAGAAGCTGTTGAGAGGCTGTTAGGGAAGCTGTTTGGAGAAGCTGTTGAAGCTGTTGGAAGATGCTGGTTCTCTTGGCCTATTCTGCTGGAGGACTTTGTCATGCTGGCTTTTCTGGTGAACTTGGCTATCCTCATCAAAGGAGGATCCCAGGACCTTGTTGTTACTGAGAATGGCTGCAGTTCACTTTGGGGGAACTCTGGTCCTCATCTTGCACATCACTTCCTGACTCCTGAGGGGAAGATGGTGTACTGCTTGCTCAGCCTCATGGAGAAACTTGTCACATTGGCTTTCCTGACAGGAATTCAGCTTTCCTCATCCTTAGAGGAGCTCAGAACTTCACCATCACCTAGAATGGCTGTGGTACTTTTGGGAGGAGCTCTGGTCCTCACCTAGAGCATTGCTTCCTGGCCCCAATTCAGATCCCTCAGCCTGCTAACACAGATCCTTCATCCTCCTAGCATAGACTTTTTTAGCTTCCACCACTGACCTTTGGACCTTTTCAGCACAGATCCATTGAAGCAGGCCTGCATGAGACATTGTCATGGGCTCTAGGCTGCTACTTGGACTTGTGCAAGGCATTGTTTATGGGCTCTAGGTCTTCAGCTACACTCATGCAGGATATTAGCATCCAGACTGTCAGCTGGATTCTTTGGTCTTTAGTGTGTGGACACTAAAGTGGATTGCCACTTTATTACAATAAAACTTTATTACAATAAAAGTGTGCTCTCAAGTTCTTGCCTTTTTCAAATCCAGCCACAGTTCCGGTGCATTCTCAGGTTCTGTGCTGACTCCCTGGAGAACCTTGCCCTGTTTGACTACCTGTTAATGTCTGCCTACCTTATCTGACCTCCCAACAACCTACTCTGGGTTCCTGTATTCTTTGTATATGATTCTTTGAGTGATTATAAAACAATTTGTCCTATTTTGTATTATTCCCCTTGCAAAAGCCCCAAACTATGACAACCCCTAAATCAAAACTGTTGTGTAGCTTAAATAACACAACCTGACACCCAGCATTATACACAATAACCAAACTGTGGTAGCAACCCAAGAGTCCATCAACGAATGAATGGTTAAATTATATGTACAAGGGTTAGGGAGATAGCTCAGTAGAATAAGCGCTTGCCTGCAAGCACAAGAGCCTAAGTTCAATCCCCAGTTCCACAAAAAAAAAAAAAAAAAAATTTACTCAGTTGTGTCCCAAATTTTCTAATCAAGGAGATTATGGAGCCACAGAGGAAAGTAATCAATGATATAGAGTGTGCCTAAGGAGAGGCACATGGGGAGAAAACATTCTCACAGGCTTCCACAGAGAGCAAAATGGTCAAGCAGTGGCCGTGACTCATTCACATGGCTGACACTGACAAAAGATCTATAAACTGCGGTACAGGGCTTCAGGATAAATCCTGAGGGGATTTGACTGACCTTGTCAGATACAAAAGTTACATTTCTTGTTATATAGGTCTTGCTTTATCTTGGTCTTATCCATCCAGCATAAAAGTATAAACATGAGAAATAAAAAGTAAAGCCATGTTAATATGCTGAGCTGTAAAAGACTCAAGTCAACAACTTCTGACATTGCCATTCCTATGGATAACCCACTACTATTATGAACTACTGGACTATATCGTAATATTTTGCTGAATTCATGTACCTACAATATTTAAATGACAATGGAATACCCATCTCTGACAAAACTAAACAAAAAAGAGGATACAAATGAAGGACCATTTTGTATCTGTATATTCAAAATAGTTAGGAATGATATAGAGCTACTTTCTCTTAATTCAATGAATGGAAAGATTTGTATTATTAGTGTTTGTGGACAGGATATCATGTTTGCATCTTGGACTCTGAATAACCACTAAGAAGACAACAATATGCACTGTATTAATTATTGAAACTGTCCTACTAATTGGTTTTGAAACTGTCTCATTGCTATTTGTTTCTCAATAAAATTATTTTAAAAAATAAACTATATGTACATATAATGAAATATTATTCAGTATTTAAAAAGAAAGAAATTCTGACATATGATCCCTGAGGACATTATACCAAGTTATACCTGGCATCTAAAGTAATCAGATTCATAAAGACAGAAAATAGAAAGGTGGTATTGATGACCTATGGGCCAAAAATGGATACGTTTATTGTTTAAAGGTCACAGAATTTCATGTTAAGGTGACAAAAAGTTCTGGCAATAGATAATGGTGATGTTTACACAGTAATGTGTGTTCAATGACACTGACCTGCACAACTAAAAATAAATTAAGGTGATAACTTTCATGTTCAGGGTAATATTGCAATTGATAATAATGACTATAATCAGACTAGCCCTAGTTTGGTGACAAAAAAAAGTCAGTGCTTGCTAAATGCTAATCCCCTTCTTACCACTCAGAGAGGTGATGCATAATAAACCCCTCAGCCTCAGGATTTAATAAAATACTAATCACATGGAAAGTAATTTGTTCCTGGAAGTACTATCAGAGGCAGATAAGGTAGGCAAAAGCTAACAGGTAGTCAGACAGGGCGAGCTTCTCCAGGGAGTCAGCACAGTACATGAGAACGCCTCAAAACTGTGGCTGGACATGCACTTGAAAAAGGCAAGCCCTTGAGAGCAAAGCCACCAGGGCCAGATTTACATACTTCCCTACGGGACAAATGGAATCTCCTGATTATTGTACGGCCCTTTGGGGATTTCCCATGGAAATACACCATTATGTCACTCAGAGTGGACCAACCTCTGCCACCCATAAAGACAATTAAAGACAAGAATAAAACTATCAATGATGGGCCAAAGTTCATGATGTCATCCACCTGCCCTCCATGCCCTGCTCACTATTGGATCAACATTAGCTGAAGAGCCATACTTGTAATCCTATTGGTTGACTATAGTTTGACCCACAGTGTACCCATCCCTGTGGCTTTGTCCACTCTCGAAGAGAAGGCCTCCCAGCAACCCACTGCAGACACCACAGCCACCACCCACCACCCAGCCCCGTCTCTCAGTTCTTTCTACTTCCCAGTCCTATTCCCCAGACCCAGTTGTGTGAGCCTCATTCCTCTGAGCATCTGCTCTCCCCTCTGGAGTGTATCTTCTCTTAGATACGGAGTAACCAAAAATGTCAATCGATTGACATCGATTCCTCCATCTTGTAAATTAACTGCCAAAAACTGCATTAAATTAGGTAGCAAGGACCTGTCAGAGCGCGCAAACGGGAGAAAGCTTGGCTGAGCTTCCCACTCGGTGGCTGCCTTGGCCTCCTGGGCGCCACTCGCTGTCACTGCTCGCACCTTGCCCTTCTTCCGCCCATCCCTGGGGCTCCTCCCCTCGCCCGTCCCTTCTTGCTCCTCCCGCTGCTCTGCCTCGCCTCTGAGAGGAAACCGAAAGTGAAATGGACAGCTGGTAGTCACGGGAGTTTCCAAAAGTGAAGCAGGGACCCGGCGACCTACACTGAAACCCCTGAGAAGGTGAGTAGAGCAGCCCCCCGCCCCAGGTATCCCTGCCCACATTGGAACGGCGCCTTCCCCCTGGTCTCCCCCAGAGCCGGTGGAGTCCCGGGCACCTTCCCCGCCGCAGATCCGCGCACGCCCAGCCCAGGTTCCAAGGGCAGCTCTGAAAGTGACTCCCTAGTCTGCAAAGAGGGACTGCTCTGAGGCCGGCACCTGAGCTGGGAGAACTAGACCCAGGGTGGCCGAGGCAACCGAGAGAGACCCTCACCCCAAAAGTCTTCCTTGGAAGTGAGAGGGGCAGGCTATTTAGGATGTCCCGCTAGAAATTTCTATGGGTTCAAGATACTTTACGGCCTCAATGAAATTTGGAGCAGTTCAGAGAGGAGCCCAGGGAGCGTCCAGCACACTTACACACACGTACATACATATATAATATGCTTTTTATAAGAATGTATCAAAATAAATAAAGCTTTCCTTAAGATGGAGTTAGGATCTCGGGGGGTAAAAAGTGGCTTTTAGGTGGTTACCTGGTTGTGCCGACATCACAGAGTGCACTGACACAAACCCAGGTGACACTCCACTTTGTATGTCTGGGCTGTGTCGTGTGGCCTGGTGCTAAGCTGCTGTACCTCCATCCTTCACTGACCAGAGCATCGTATGTGGCTGTGCACCCCTGACTTTTTTTTTATTATTTAATGTATTTAGTACAGGATCTACAGGGTCTCACTAGATAGATCCTACTCATAGTGATTCTCCTGTTTTCAGCCTCCCAAGCACTGGGATTGCAGGCGCGCATCACCATGCCCAGGCTCAATCGCCCGTCTCAGTGTGCTCCTGGGGCAGGGCCTGCACAGCAAGCTAGGGATTGAACCCAGCCGCTGATGTGTACACCTGATGCTCGCCGCTGCTGCAAACATTTAGGCAGATGTGTGCCACGCAGGTGGCCCCTCTGGAGCATGGACAGTGCATGGTAAATGGTCTCTGTAATGATTAGTGACTTAGCCACTTGCTGGCAGTAGAAGTGGGAGAAGACAGGACTGAGGATTTAAGCCTGCGTAGGTATGGCGAAATAGATCTGTCAACAACTTTATCCCCAAAGTTCTACTGGTTTTCTCTGCCTAGAGACTCAGTCTCCCCTCTGCCTAATGAGATTAGTGTGCAGACTACAGAGGAGAAGATCCTGATATTTGGGTTGCTATCTTGTCTTCCTTGTTCCCTCCCCACCAGTTCATTCTGATGTGTGTTTTTCCTTTGCATTATTTTTCTCGTGTAAACCTTCAATTTTCTCTTTTCCCTGTCCTCTCCACCAAGCCCTTCCAGGTCTCCCCAGCACTGCCTACCAGGCACGGGACCCCATGGCCTCTGCAAATTCCTTGGCGATGATGTGGGAGGAGGTAACATGCTGCATCTGCCTAGAACCCATGGTGGAACCTGTGAGCATTGAATGCGGCCACAGCTTCTGCAGGGCGTGTATCTCTGAGGTTGGGAAGAGCGGAGGGGCCTCCTGTCCTGAGTGCCGGCAGTGCTTTCTGCTCAAGAACTTCAGGCCCAATCGGCATCTGGCCAATATGGTGGACATGCTCAGACAGATGAGCCAAGCCAAGATAAGTCAGGATGCCAAGCAGAGTGCGCCCGGGGAACGGTGTACGGTGCATGGAAAGAAACTTCATCTGTTCTGTGAGAAAGACCAGCAGGCCCTCTGCTTGGTGTGTTCCCAAACTAAGAAACACCGAGAGCATGCCATCATCTCTATTGAGGAGGCAGCTAGGGAGTACCAGGTGAGGCTTTCCCACAAGTCACAAACAAGTACTATGTGGGACCCTGATGAGTACTTTAGTCCCCAGACTTGGTAGTAGGAGAAAGTCACTGCTGGGGTTGAAAAGGAAAGATTCTTGCTTCCCTCTGTGAGACAGAATTGCAGATTACAGACAACCTTCTCATTCCTCAGGAGCACGAAATGGGCTTTAGGAAAATGCTACCTAGATCCTGATGTTTCCTTGTGGCCTTCTAAGTAATTATTCATGAGTGGTGCTCCCCCTCCTTCCACCCCAAGAATTTAGCTGTTTTGTAGAGCGCATCAGGCCTGTTCCTAAGTCTTTGCGTCCAGAGAATTCCTACTCCAGTCAGGGTCTAGTCCTCCTCTGCATTTAGGCTTCTTCTAAGAATAGTTTGATCTAACCCAATCCATGTCCCCGGTTAGTCTGGTTGAAGGTTCAGTTGCTGTCTGTCTGTACAGGAGAAGATCCAAGTGGCATTAGAGAAACTGAGGAAACAACAGGTATTGGCTGAGGAGATGGAAGTGAATCTTGCAATGAAGAAAGCAGACTGGAAGGTAAGCGTTAGAGGCTAAGCAAGGTCCAGGGTGTTGGACTCAAGGAACCCTTAAACCATAGCTATGCCTATCTGGAGAATTATGGAGTCATTACAACTCACTTTCCAAGAGCCACCTGATATCTAGGACTCCAGAAAAAAAAGGCATAAAAAGGCTGGAGGCTTAAGGAGGAGTTGCCAGGCCGGCCAGATAGTTCAGCAGATTAAAGTGCCTGCTTAGGCAAATGCAAGAACCAGGGTTCAATCCCAGGCATGCCATGCCAGCCCCGCCCCCAGGGCACACTGAGACTGGGAGTGGTGGTGTGAGCCTGTAATCCCAGCACTTGGGAGGCTGAGAACAGGAGAATCACTATAAATCCAATCTACCTAGTAAGACCCTGTAGACCCTGTACTAAATTCCAAAAAACAAAAAAAAACAAAAAAAAAAAAAAAACACCTTAAAGAGGAGCTGTCAATCAGGCACAGAGATGCAGAATCACTGAAGAAGGTACTAGGAGGGGTAGGTTATACTTTTAAGCTCTCCACTTTCTCAATCCAGTCTCCTGAAAGATAGAGATAACCCACGAAAGAAGTTCAACTAGTATGCATCGTAGGAAAGGGCAAGGGCTATGACAAACAAACTGAAGGATTCATCAAAATCTGAAGTAGGAACCAATCTGACAAGGCGATTGCTGGACTATTTCCAGATCACTGATTCAAAGCACAATGGGGAACTAAAGCATGTTCCACACTTCAGCGGTGTGCGAATAGAGGTGGTGTATGTCTAAAAATAAAGAGGAATGGAAAGAGTTCATAGCCAGTACTCCCAGCAAAGGAAAATTAGGATTAAAGAAGATTGAGTAACTGAGAAAGAGGTTACTCTGTGTCATCAAGTAGACACTCAAGTGACTAGCAAGAAGGACAAGAAAACAATGTCTCTATGCTTTCCTCAAGACTCAGGAATTGTGTAGTGAGCCTTTCTTTATGTGAAGTCATTGGGGATAGGTTTTACTGTGCCTGTAACTTACGAAGACACAAAGGTAAAGGGACTCATTTTGACAGTGATTATGTTTTTGGAACAGGTTGAAAGAAATTACCTGCTCATGCCATAGATTGGTATAGCTGCAGTTGTAGGTTAGCTACATGGACTGCCCAAACTGTTCTCCCTCAGTCTCAGAAGCCTCAAGTACTCACCTGCCTCCCAACAATGTGTGTGTGTGTGTGTGTGTGTGTGTGTGTGTGTGTGTGTGTACAAGCAGTCCCAGATATAACCTGAGTGCAAGTCTCCAGAGTTAGAAATTGACACCTCCATCCTAAAGCCTAGAAAATTGTGGTTCATCCACCTCTCCTTCTCCCTCCCTTGACACCAAAGAAGGAAGTTGGGACACAAAAATCAAAGATTCATGCCGCATTTGTGCAGCAGAGAAACTTCTTGGCTGAAGAGGAACAGAGGCAGATGCAGAAATTGGAGAAAGATGAAAGGGAACAACTGAGAATTCTGGGGGAAACGGAGTTCGAACTGACCCAAAAGAGCCAGGCCCTGCAGGCTCTGGTCTCAGAGCTGGAGCGGAAGAGTAAGGGCTCCCCGCTGGAGCTGCTTCAGGTAAGACTGGAAGAGTCTCAGGAAGAGACTGAGAAAAAGCCATAGTTCTCTTGGGCCACTGTTAGAGCCAAATGGATCTTCATTCCAGAATATTGCTCAACAAACTGGAATTTGGGCCCTTGAATGGTTTCCATTCAAGGCACAAAAGGATACAAGTGTAGGAAAGAATATACTGCCTAGCAACTGACGGAAACGAACATTGCTGAAAAGTGCCTGTCCCACCACCACGTATGGGAGCTTGAGAAAGTGCTGGAATTTTTCTGAGCATCTGGCATCTTGTTTGTTAGACGGATACTGTGTCATTATGTATGTCAAGAGTATCTGTCATCATTCAGTGAGAAAATCCATTATAGCTCTTAGATAAATGGACATGAGAAGGGTTTAATAAATACAGCTTTAAATGCTGAACTGAAAGTTAAGAAGCAGTAGCCCAGCTCCAGTCATGCTACCAGTTCTCTCTATAACTGTAGGTTAAACTATTTTCTGTTTTAAGACCCAATTTGTTCAATTCTGATACAAAAGAAAAAAATGCAGTAAGTAACAAGATTTCCCCTAATGTTAGTCAGAAATGTGTCATATGCTACCTGTTCTGTGAGCTAGCAAAATGACTTTAGTATGTTATTTTTCTGTGAGTTGTCCCTTTGCCCTGAATAAAGTTAGTTTTAAAAGAATTTTTTCCGAAGCTAGGTGCTAGGGAGGCTGAGACAGGAGGATGGCTGTGAGTCCAAGCTGCATAGTGAGATCCTATACCAAATAAATAAAAGATTTTTTAAAAACTGAAATACTTAACCAATTTCACCTGAGTAAGAAGAGGTAGAGTTAAGATTAAAATAAGTGTGTAACTTCCTTGAAAAACATCATGCTTACAGGCAACTTGCATCATCAATGATACGTTCAGTCCACTACATGGTCTCAGAAGCCTCTTGCTTTAACACGCTGTTCTTTACCCTCACCTTTCACTGTCTCTTGGACTCATCACTCCTTTCTGGTCAGTGTTAGCTTGACTTGGTAGGCACTCTCCATCTTCTGGTGCCCTTGTGGCAGTCTGAACCCTTGCAACCTAAGAATCTCTGTTGAATTGACTTCACAGAAAGGAAGGGCAGCATTAATCACAAAACCGGAAGCTTTAGCTCAGCAGCCCTTCCTCTCTGAGCGGTGGAAGCCCCAAGGAGAGGGAGCAATGTCCAGCACCTTCTCCTGGCCGGTCTCTCCCGTGACTGTGGGCTTCAGCCACGCTCACTTCCTGCTGTCTTCTGCCCTTTCCTTTCCATCTCTTCCCCAGCAAGAAGCTGCTCTTTCTCATTTATTTTTTGAATCAAAGTCCTTAAAGTGGTGGCCCCTCCCTAGCTAGTGATCACAGCTATGCAGGTTTCTGGCTATGTGGCAGAGACTAGGGCAAAACAGAACCCTTGGGTCATAGGGTGATATCACTCACCACAGGACTCAGTGGCAAGCCAGAAAGCCCAGAACTTACTCTCTCTCTCTCTCTCTCTCTCTCTCTCTCTCTCTCTCTCTCTCTCTCCTTTTTATTCTCAGGATGTAACAGTTGTCCTGGAAAGGTAAGGAGAAGTTTTCTCTGCTGGAGGAGGGGGTGGCAGGAAGAGTGGATGCCTGTGGAAAAGTTACTGACTAGCCACACATGCACTGAGGTTTCCCTAGTCTATCTCCCTATTCTCAAAAGACCTGACCCCCTAAAATATTATCTGGTCTCAGAAAACTAATAAATGGATATATCAGTTGGTGAATTGTCCAAAGCAATTGGATAATGCAGTCTTCACATAGTAAAGTCCAACAAACTGGGGTATTCTGGGAAGTTCTGAGTCCACAGCCTGCTGAGACTTCTTTTGGGGATGGACCTTAACCAGTTACAGACCTCTCCGAATGAGCCATGAGTGAGGCCCACAGCACAGGCAAGACTCATCGGGTTCCCCCACAGAAGAGACTCGGTCTCTATCAGGTGCCTTACTTGTGAAATGAATAAGGCAGCTGCATGGTGAGCTCTGGCTTGGAGAGATATCGGCTGTCCACAGGCCACAGGCATGGAAATAGGAACTCTGAAGAGAAACGGAGTTCTGCCAGGCATGGTGGCTCACACCTAAAATCCCAGCACTCAGGAGGCTGAGGCAGGAGGATCATTGAGAGTTCCAGGACAGCCTGGGCTACAAAGTGAGCTCAAGGCTGGCCTGAACTGTACAGTGAGACCCTGTTTCAAAAAGGCAAAAAAATAAAATGAGTCCTACATTTTTTGCCTCTTATTTGTTCAGTCGAACCCGAGGTTCTGCAATTTCATATTGAACTGTTCTCAGCTAAGGAGATGATTAGGGCCTCCATTAGAAGGTAGAAGTGGGTGGCATGGGTTTCCAATTCTTTTTCCCCCAGGAGTGAGTCCTGGAACCTGACAGAGCTGGACATTGCCTCCCCATCCCTGAAGAGTGAGTTCTGCGTGCCGGGTCTAAAGGCAATGCTGAGGACGTGTGGAGGTGAGGTGACCTTTAGGAGTTGGAGGACTGGAGCGGAGGATAGTGGGCATATAAAGAGGGTCACAGGGTCTGGAGAACAGACAGTGGCATGGGGAAGAGGCAGCAGGTCAGATGGAAAGGCCCAGTCAGAGGCAAGTAGTGTTCCCTCCAAGGTCAGGGCAAGAGCTGCCCCTGTCTCAGAGACATTTTCTCACGTGGTGAGGTCAGGGTAACCCTTTCACTCTGGAGTTCACATAAATCCCCCCGCTTTAAGGGTTACTGACCACACACACACACACAACACACACACACACACACACACACACACACACACACGGCCTAACTGTGGTCTCTTTCGGCAGTATACGTCACTCTGGACAGAGACACAGCCAATCAGTGGCTCCTCCTTTCAGACGACCGGAGACAAGTGCGGTTTGGAAATGCCCGACAGAATGTGCCTGAAAATCCAGAGAGATTCAATAATTATCCCGTAGTTCTGGGTTCCCAAAGTTTCAATTCCGGAAAATTTTACTGGGAAGTAGATGTAACTGGAAAGGAGGCCTGGGACCTAGGAGTGTGTAGAGACTCTGTGCAGAGAAAGGGGATTTTTTTGTTCAGCCCTGACAATGGCTTCTGGACAATCTGGTTGTGGAATAAAGAAGAATATCACACTGGCGCCTACCCCAACACACCCCTCCAGCTTCAGGTGCCTCCACGGCAAGTTGGGATTTTCCTGGACTACGAGGCTGGGACTGTGTCCTTCTACAACATCTCTGACCATGGGTCCCTCATCTACACTTTCTCTGAATGTGCTTTTGCTGGACCTGTGCGGCCCTTCTTCAATCCTGGCTTCAATGACAGTGGAAACAATGCGGCTCCTCTGACTCTCTGTCCACTGAAAATGTGATGATCAGGATCCACTGTGGAGGGCTTTCTCAGCACGTGGCTTCCCTCCCATTGGTGCCTCTTCTCAGCCACAGGTCCTGCCTCTCCTTCCCATGAACTGCTTTGTGTCTGCACAGCTGTCAGGGTCCCAGCCAGCAGGACTTAGGAAGGAGGTCACTGAATGCCAGTGTCTAAGCTGGGAGGATCGCTGCAAGTGCTGAGCCAGACTAGGCTATGTAGTGAGTAGAAGGCCAGGCTGAGCTACATGGTGGAAGCTGTGTCAAAACTTTTAAAAAGTCAATGTCAAAAGACCTTCAACATCAATACGCCTGCCCTAGGTTCTTTCATGGTTCCCTCCAGGAGACAGACTATGTATTTGGCCCAAACTCCTCTGAGTCAGCCAGAAACATTGCTGCCTCCTTCATGCAAGCTGATGTTCTCTGTATCTCTAAGTTGTTCACCTGTGGTCAGATCTCCGTTACATTTTTCATGGCTTACAAAAGGGCTTTCAAAAAGAAAAAGTTCTGCCTCTGGTGTATCACATTCTATCCTTGGTTCTTAAGCTGAAAATACTTGACAACTTTAAACATGATTAATGTGGTGGTGTCTAAAATAATTGCACATTTTCATTTTCTGCCTGAAATGCCCTGCCACTTCTATCTTGGAGGACCCAGGTAAGGAGTATCTTCTGTCATTCTCCAGAGCTGATCTGCTGGGAAAAATAACAAAAAATTTTAAAAAGGAAAGGACATTCACAAATGTGAATGTTAAAAAAAAAAAAAAAAATCCAAAGAAACCATCTTGAGACCCTGGGCTCAGCCACTAAAAAGGCTTCTCAGGCATCAAACATCTTCAGCCAAGGCCTGCAGCTCTGGGCCAAGAGTTTTAGGACAGAAGAACAGAAAATGAGTGGGGGCTGCAGCAGGGTTGAAGGCTATATCTGGGAAGAGAGAGCCAAGCCTCTGATCACCGCTGCGGCCAGAGATGAGGAGGGTGGGGTTGGTCTGGGGTCAGAAGTAAGGGATGGAATCTAGACTTCCTCTAGAGCAGGGATGGCAAAACTTTGAGAGGCTGAGAGCTCACATGGCAGCCCAGATCCACGTATTTGTCCCCAACTGCCAACCCTACAGTAATACCTGAATGCTTGGCAGCTGGGGTGACTTGGCTCAGGTTAACAACAAGGGCTTTGTGTGTCCACTGTGGCATGCATGCCAGAGGTTAGCCACCACTGCTCTAGAGTCACATAAGTATGTTGTGGAAACATCCCATCCTTGCTTTCTCTCCAAAGGGTCCTCTTTGTATCCATTTTCTCCCTCGGTTCTCTAGCAAAAGAAACTTCACTCTGTTCTCACCCTTTCCTTTCTCCCAGATTTAGACTTCTCAGAGTTGAATGTTCTGCCATATCACACTCTCCCCACCCCGTGTTCCTTTAAACTACTCTCCTGACATGGAGTCCTGATCACCACCGCCCACCACCACCACCACCCCACACACACACTTCCTGACCACCTGTTCTTGGCCTCTCCTTTAACCTAGATCTCTGGCTGCTCTAGATGTCTATCAAGTGTCACGCACACACACTGCGCATAAAGATGAGCCTGGAACTCCTGGAACTGGTCTTCCTACAGAAACCTGCAGTTCAAGCCAGGTGAGAGGCTACAGGTAGAGAGAGTTAGGATATGGAAGTGGTTCCACGGAGTGTTGGATGTTTCTCTATAGACAAAATTTCCTCCTAGCCACAGTTCCATAGGCCCAAGGATTGGGGCTGGAGTTTTCCCCAACGACATCCCGTTCATAATGGGACTGGTTAAAGAGAATTTTAGATACTACAATCCTCTCAATGTGAAGTGCTCTCTGAGAACCATTGTAGTCACACCCTGGCTTGGCCTTCTGATTCTGCCTTTCTGGTTTCAGTAGAAAGGAGTGTTGGGTTCCCACTGTGGCCTGGGCCCTAGAGGTGAAGAGCTTACAGCCTTCTCTAGGTCTCTAGGGGCTCAACCTGAACAACTAGGAGCAGCAGCTCTCTGTAGTCAGTTCTCCTTAGAAGGCAGGGATCCTGAGTCCTGTGGTCATGGTGTCCAAGAAGGCTGTAGATATTGGTGCTGGACCGCTGCATCCCCTGTGCCTAAATACTGTGCTATGGACACAGCAGTTTCTCCAGAAGGACTTGGAGTGAATACCAAAGTCCAGCTGAAGATTTCTCTTGAATTGCTAGTGGGAGAACATCATACTTTGATCTGTGTATGGCTAGATACTCACATAGACTCTACTTCTAAAAGTGAAGGATAATAGGCTGATCAAAAAGTCATTTACTGGGGCCGGGGAGATGGCTCAGTGGAATAAGCACTTCCCTAGCAAGCGCAAGGGTCTGAGTTCAATCCCCGGTTCCGCAAAAAAAAAAAAAAGTCATTTACTGTTGTGCTTAGAAGCTGTATTGATTTTTCCCTTCCTCCTTTTATACTCTATAAACCTTCAAGCTTCTTTGGAAATTCAAGAGGAAGTAGAAGCTCTAAGAAGGAGCCTCAACAATGCCACATGAGTTTTACTGAAGGTCTAACATGTTTGGTATTTTACATTTTCAATCAATATTCCAAAAAATGCACAGTGTGCAGGCAGTGCTTCCTTCTGTAACAAGCTGAACATATACCTCTATCATCTGAGAAAAAAATAATGCTCTTAGGACCCTGTTTTTAAAATGCTGTTTTTGTATTTTCCTGGCTTTTGCCAAGATAGAGTCATAAGTATGTCAACATCAGACTTTCTGGATAAGTGCGGTCTCAAAGACCCCAAGAAGTCAGCAAACTAGACTTTCCTTCAGCGAGAAGCTGCCTTCCTGTCAATATGCAAAATCAACTGTTTCTTGAAATGTGGCCCATACAGTGGATGATGTCACTGCAGTGTGCAGTACTTCAATCTGTGAAGTCCCCCACTCTGCAGTGACCTGGTGTGGAACAAAGCACTGAGGAGTGCTGTGCCAGCTGATCTAATTGTCACTTGGACTAAATTGACTCCTGGAGACCTTCAAACTCCAGCTAATCTTAATTGTCAGCTTGAATGACTTGAGGGACTCCTGGCGAGGTGGATAGATCGTGCAGACACTGTACGCATTAGGGGATTAATCCAGGGGTGCTCATTGCCAGGTCCTAGTACAGGTGGGGCCCATTAGGAGTGACCTTCAGGGTGTGCCTTTGAAAAACACATCTCTCTCTGGGCCTCTGCTTCTGAGCTGCCAGGAACTGAGCGGCTTTTCTCTACCACGCCCTTCCACCAAGATTCTGTCTTAGAGCCAGCCAAGGAGTACCTGAATCTTCTGAAACCATGAGCCAGAATTGAATTTCGTCCTTAATTGTGGGGAGGAGGCATCTTGCCCCAGTAAGAGGAAAGCAGACAGATACAAATGCTACAATACAACCAGCCACCACCTGACACTGAATTGCTGGGGGCTTCCTGTCCAGCCACCGTGACTGGGCTTCATGGGCAAGATCGCCACAAAGCCCTATCCTGTATTAAAAAGTCTCAGTCTACTCTGTTGTTGTCATCTGTTCATACCTATTCATAAGTCTTAATAAAACCTATTTCTCACATGCTATCTGATGTTTTCTTGGGTGTCTCAGAAACCAACACAATTGCTGCCATACAGCTGGGCTGGGGACAAGGTAACCTGTAATGAAAACCATCCCAGAGCCAGACCCTGGCAGCACCCCAGCAATCCAGATGAGCTCCCTTCCTGTCACAGTTCGCAGGAATAATCACTAGTTTCATATGTAAAGCGTGTTTATTTTGAGTTTTGAACACTGTACAAATAGAATTATATAGAAACTATTCCCCTATTGTGACTAATTTCATTTTGGCTTCATAAAATTCGTAACAACATTATGTCTTACAGAATTTATAATTATTCTTGTAAGTGCAATCCACTCATTGGCATTACTACATTTTACTATGCCATTCTATTAATAATGGCATTTAAAAAGAAGAAAGGGCTGGGGATAAAGCTGAGTAGCTTAAGCGCCTGCCTGGCAAGCACAAGGTCCTGAGTTCAATCCCTGGTACCAATAAATAAATAAATGGGAAGGTAAAGAAAAAAATAAAAAATGGAACCAAAGCTTTTATAAATCAGGAGGGAGAGGGGCTGAAGAGAGAATAAGGGAATGGGAAAAAAGTTATACCAAATACAGATACAACTTCCGTATGATGAATGTGATCATGCATACCTATAAAGTACCACTGAACTTTAAAAAAGAAAAAGTAATTCCACTTTATGCTAAAGATATAAATATTTGTAAAAAAAATAAATCTAATGATGCTTATTACACTTCCTCTAAGATTATAGAGAACATTGCCAGTCACAGCAAAGAGTTTCAATTTTACAAAGTATCTTCCCACTGCAGCATATGCAAGATTGTGACGTTCTTGATCCCACTTATGCACCATATGCAATAAATACAGATGTAATTGTCTATCTCTTGGTCGATGTGTGAATTCTACACATACATTTGAGCTACTAGCAGTATTCAGATGTCCTCAGACTTATGATGGTTTGACTTACAAGTTATTTTATTTCGTGATTGTGCAAAAGCATACCAATACAACCATTTGATTTTCACATTCAGTGCAGCAGTCAGTAAATTACATGAAGCATTCAACACTTCGTTATAAAATAGGTTTGTGTTAGATGATTCAAACTGGTTCTGAGAGTTTTAAGGTAGGTTAAACTAAAATATATTCCTTACTCAAAATGGAATCTTGGGTTATCTTCAGTACACCTGCTAAATACTTTATAAATGAAAAAATTTAGACTATGCAGATGCTTATAACTTCAAAAAGCATTTATTGATAACAGTTGTACCTAATGATGAGTAGCAGTATGTCAATACTGTACAGAAAGGAGACCCTATGAAGGAAAGATAAAAAGGGCAGATAAGATACAGGGAAGAGCCCTCGGGCAAGAATGGCATTGTAGAACTAAGTCAAAATAATTTAGCAAAGTGAGCCAGTGCTTTAGCTGATAAACTGAAGGGACAATATGGAGGATAACTTGTGCTTATGGAAATGAAAATACACCAAGAAATGT